TGATAACGGCGATAAAATCGAGAGCCTCGGTTTTAATTATCGTTTAATGATCGCTCGGCCTTCTGTTATGTCAGTACTTACCGTGGACGACGACCTCGCCACGTGTTACTTTAGGTCACTAGACGTCTTACATCTCTAATGATAGATACGCGATACAGATGAACGAACCCGCGAACCTCGATTCAAACGCGTCGCAACTGTTCGTATAAAATAATATTTTAAATAAAAAATAAATGCAGTGGTCGATTCTTGGTGTAAAAATAAATGGAAAACGTAGAATAAACTTTTTCCGTACGAGCCCTCGTTTTCGAGACAACTGATTTTAAAACTGTTCGGGGCACGAGCGTGTATCGTTAAAATCGAATTTAACAAATCCCATTGTAGACGTCCGTCACGATTGTAGAATGTTTTTGTACGATCAACGGCACACGTTTTACGTTTAAACGCGATAGGAACGTGTAAAGAGATCACGAGATTACCAATTAAATTACGCACCAGCGCCGCGTGTTTTGAAAACCAATTTCCTCGAAAACGGAGCTTCGTACGACAAAATTTCACTGCACATTTCCCATTCGTTTTTACGTGCACGTTCATTCCAACGCGTTTAAAATTGAATTTTAATAGAAAATCTGTTCGAAACGAGCGAAGTGTGCAACCTATGCTGTCTCTGCGTTCATTATACCCTACGATAGCGACATCTTTTTTTACATATAAATTTTTTCTGACACCGACACGTTTACTTAAACCCATTAACAACAATGTACGTTCGTGTTTCGAGGGTCCGAATGGAGGGAAATCCAACGGGAACCGGCAAACAATCCGCAGAAACGCCACAAGTCCAACAGAAATACGGAGTTTCTCCCATAAATATTTATCGCGAGACGGTAGTTGGCTCGTTCTACGTGGTTAAAGGGTTCACTCTTAGGCATCGCGGCCCCGTCTGATTGGAGACTGTACTCCGTGCAAACAGTTTGAGGTTTGTCTCGAGGAACGACGGGAACAACGATAAAACCACTACACGAGACTTACACGTTAATGATTGTTCTGCACTCGAAATTGCGCCGCTGAACGTACCGATCTCCACGATTCGAAGCCACCGCGTCTTCGAGTTACGAAAATGTAAAATTTTAGATGGTTTTAAGAGTTCCAAGCGCGTGGAAATCGGCTCACACAGTTCTCAGATTCATTTAGGATATTAATTTTTCAATTCGTACGGTGAATTTTCGGGTTTCCTTGGACACGAAGATCTTTGTTTTATAAATTAAATAAAAAAGATACCAATGAAAGGAAATTAATAATTCACTAGCTTCTGGATGTACACAATTTTTTGGATTCTAAATTGAGAACGGTTGATTATAGAATAATCGTGAGTGAAATTCTGCCTTTCGAGTCGAATATAGTGGCTCACAAAAGAAGCAATCAAGAAGAATAATTCCGTTTCGAGCATTTACCCTGGAAGCAGCGCGCGCGTTTCGATGAAACCAGACAGCCAACCTCACGCATCAAAGCTGAAAATCATATTTTCCGCGGCGTACGTCGCACTCCATTAATTTCATAAATTCGCTCGAATCAACCGGGCGAGAGGCCGTGAATGAAACTCGATATCAATTGCTCGCGTAACAGCCAGCCGTGTGGAGAATCGGATATGTGCCAGAAATTATGACCGTGGCGTGAAACCCACATTAAATATAACGAGACGAAAAAATATTTAAAAATATGTGATCATAGTTGGGATCAAAATGGCGGCTAAGAAAGGAATATGGTGATCAGCTTTTCAAAAATTGGCCCCGTCCTCGCGCGTAAGAGAACAGCTACGTCAAACCGTGTCAAACTTGTTCGAACCGAGTTGGGAACTGAACTCTATCGGCTAACAGGGTCCAAATTGTAAGGACATAATGCCTCTGATTGTGATGAATCGACCATCCAGAGCGGTTTAATCCTCCCCTTCGGACAGTTTCTCTCTCGTAAATCAGCAAATTCTCGGAAGTACCAGCCTCTGTTTACTTTCCGCGAGAGAGCACCGCGAATCGAAATTTTCGCCGGAATGGAATTTCGCCGGAACGGAGCCCGATTCCTCGTTTTTCTCGTCGAGTCCAAAATCGAATCTGTTTTCGCGCGCCCGGATAATTGTTTACGATGCGTTGTTTATATTTGCATACGAAACGAGGAACAGCTGTAGCGCTCGGAGCGATGCACTATCGATCGCGACCGAACGACGAGGCTACCAATTCAATAATAACGGGCGCAGTTTATTCGTCGACAAAAAAAATAGCAGGCATTTCGAATTTTTGTGGAGGATAATCGAGAAGCTTGGTGATGTATCGTAAAGTAAACCATCGCTCCAGTTCCGCGCCAGACATTTTTCACAGTTTCGTCCAGCTACTCTGTGAACCAACCCCTCCCGGAGACACCATCTATTCTCTTTCCGGATGATTCAACGATACAAGGATGGACGGTCGCTGCCTTGATTACGCAACACATTTGGAGTTCCATTTGCCGGAGTCTCATGCAAATATTTGCCAATTACATTTGGACTCCCGCGGATACGGGTTGCGAACTTTTTTTGTGACGGAGAGACTAGGGCATCGCGTATGTAATTTGGGATATTGGTGTTGTTTGTACCTTCGATATGATTCGAACACCCACGTACATTTGCAAACAGAAACATCAGCTTTGTAAGAAATCTCTTAAGTGACAATAAAATGACGTCAAACTGTGTCAAACGGTCCTCCAACAACTGCAAACAATCCTCTAGTTGCTTCGTAACAAGAATTTTGCCTCCATTTACAAGTAATTTGATGTTTGATATCCCTTCATGAATAATTGCAAGATGTCTCGGAACAAAATGGCGTCAAACTATGTCAAACATTCCTCCAACAACCCCAAACAATCCTCTAGTTGCTCCGTGACAAGAATTTTTCCTCCATTTACAAGTAATTTGATGTTTGATATCCCTTCATGAATAATTGCAAGATGTCTCGGAACAAAATGGCGTCAAACCGTGTCAAACGTTCCTCCAACAACCCCAAACAATCCTCTAGTTGCTTCGTGACAAGAATTTTTCCTCCATTTACAAGTAATTTGATGTTTGATATCCCTTCATGAATAATTGCAAGATGTCTCGGAACAAAATGGCGTCAAACCAGGTCAAACGTTCTTCCAACAACCCCAAACAATCCTCTAGTTGCACCGTGACAAGAATTTTGCCTCCATTTACAAGTAATTTGATGTTTGATATCCCTTCATGAATAATTGCAAGATGTCTCGAACAAAATGGCGTCAAACCAGGTCAAACACATCAGCCCCAGCTACATTGATCCAGCAGTTGCTCTTTTTCACTGTAAATCTAGTTTTGCTACTCTGCTATTCAGCCAAATACACAGGTGTCCTTGGTGTTTCGAGGTAATCCGCGTCATCTGCGCTTATCCTTTAATTCCTCGTGTCAACATCGACCTGAAACCCCTATGCACTTTCATACCGCTGGTAATTTTCATGCTCCGACGCGGTGCTTCCACCACAATTCTGCTGGTACGCGTTCTCCATTCTTCCCACTCGTGCACCAAACAACACAAAGCAGCAAACGTTCGTCGGACAGAGTCCGGACACGTTCATTTTTCAGACAGATCCTTTTGACCGCTTCCAGGCTCGTGCATCACTCCCATAAACGACATTTTCAATCTCCCGGAAGCTGTTCCATTCAAGTACGAATCTCTTCCGTCGCCCTGAGTGACGAGAACGCAACGGAATCTTGTTAAAAAGAATGGAGGCTGGCGAGCCGGGGCCTAGAAAGGAGGCGAGAGCAGGTCCAGAGGCGACGTTATCAAGCCAATCTTAAAATATTACTCGAATCGGATCATCAATCTGCTTCGAGGTGGGCAGAAGGGGGTGGAAGTGCAGCCTCATTTGCAGACTTGATAAAACGCCGCGGCGGAAATAAACGACGAGTCTGCGGCGGCCAGGCATCAGCCTTAAAATAGGTCGACCTCGCCGGAAATTTTCTCCTTTCAAGACGCTCCTCGGGGCATTAAACTTCCCTTTTAATAACGTGTAACCTGGCCAAGTAGACGTCGATGGTACAGGCGCGTGTGATGTTCGTCTTTTGGCCGATAAGCTCCTCTCGACACGTGTGTCGTCCGAGTGGCTCCTTAACGTGAATTTTCCACTTGCCTCTATCGAGTCCGTTGATTGAAACCGGCCATATCTCGTCGTTCTCAAAGGCAAACTATAACGGGGTGGGGGAAAAATGCTTGTACATCGCTTAGCTGACGCGGGGAAAATAATTCGAAACCGTCGAAATTATAGCGGTGATGTCTCTCGAATTGATGCGACCAGATTTCGTTAGAGAAGTTAGAAGATGGACCTTTCAAGTGAAATTGTTGATTATACAGACTACTGGAGCTAGCATAAACAGTAGGGAGGTGATTTGCAACTATACGGACCCAAGATCGATGCAAATACCGGGGCAATACTTCGTGTCCACGACACCCTGTTCACGCGAAGTAAAATACAGGAAAACACATGGAACGGAGCAATCTTTAAAGCAAATACGTGAAATTCGACCGAACCTAGTACCCTCGTTTCGGAGTACCAACAGTTGAAATCAGTTCTAGAATATCAGCGTCAGATTGTTTAGACGTGAACCCAACGGTGAGAGAACTAAATCCTTCAGACACACACACGCGTTCAGTGCTAATTAGCAAATCAGGATAAACTCTAATTGGCGATGAAAGAGCTTGCCGCTAACTGTTGCGCAGTGGCCATTAATTTATCATCGTGACTCTCGTGCTCTGACTCGTTAGCCGGCGTTGCACAGTCTTCGCTGACTCTTCACTTTCGATCGAAAGGCTCCGTTAAGCCGGCACGCACCAGGATACTACTATACACGGATCAAAAGTTAACACTGTTAATTCCAACGATTGTCCCTAGTCTCCGGAGCGATACGAGACGCCCAGCGTCTTTGTTCTGAGAGTGGAACCCGGACGGGAACCGTTTGAGAGGGTTCAGATGCACGCCTCGATGTGCACGTTGGTCATCTCGCTGGTCCTCAGCTGGTTGTTGACGTGTAGCTCCGAGGACGCGTTACTGTGCACCAGGTCCTGTTTCCTGTGCACCTGGTGCAGGTCACGGACAGGTCCGATCGCCACGCAACAGCTCTCCAGCGTCTTCTTGAAGGCTGCACGAAAGTCGCGATTGAAATAGGCGTAGATCAACGGGTTCAGCGCGCTGTTGAAGTAGCCAACCCAGAACACCACAGCCACGACCGCGTCGCTGCTCTCGCAGGTGTCGCATAGGGATGTGATGATGTACCTGGTGCAACAAAACGGAGAAACAATCGTTAGAAAAAGATAATAAAGTATATTAGTAGTGGAAGATAATCTCATTAGGAATTCTGAATAGTTTGAGTAGTATTTGAAGAATTCATCATTTGAATACTACTCGAATACCATTCGGACACCAGTCGAATATTGGACAATTCAAATAGTACTCGATTATTCGTATACTATTTGAATACTACTGTCGATTGCCTATTTCAAAACTGAAGTTGTCGAATAGTATTTGGACGTTTAAGTTTGAAAAAACTGATGTCAGAAGACCGTAGATATTTTCCTGTGGAAGGAATACTTGGAAGGCAAAGCCAGCCAAAGAGAAGAATATGTCCCTGTCATCGATATGAACGATTGCTGTGATTCGCGAGTTGCCTCGCATTCTCGATAGGTCAGAGATGATGTATCAGTTTGAAGAGCGCGAGAAAAGATATGAAAAATTGATAGATATTTGCAGTAGGAAATTTTCCTACCGGAAGCAAGTGCCGTGATTCATGAATTCCCTGGTAGCCGGGTAGTCCCGCGATGATGCACGAGTTTGTAGAGGGCGGAAAAAGATTTGAGAAATTTACAGATATTTACAGTAGGAGGTTCTTTCGTTGGGACTTCGTAGAAAGATAAATTTCTGCGAAACGAAGAGAATATGTCTCTCTTTGACGTGATTCATGAACATTCAAGTTTAGGATAATCCGGCGACGTTCGCGTTGGAAAATTTTTTGAAAAGTTTATACCCGGCCTTTGCGTGCCTAAATTCTTTTTTTCATCCTCTATTCACTGCGTACTGATACATTCTTGACATTAAGGAGACAAAGTTCCAGTAAAAAGGAAAAAATCGATGAATACCAAACTCATTTCCTGGAAACCTTTCCACCCTCGTTTCTTCCATTCACCCCGAGACACAACAGCCTGGGGGATCCAGGCCACTGGCGCTAAATTCCCCAACAGCGTGCTCTGAATACCAGCCAACAGCCTTTGAACCTCACGCATTGCCTCGATTTAAAATCGATGTAACGGCTGGCAGGCTGCTGCCAAAATACTAAGTGATCCAACCTACGTGGTGTATCGCGGGGCAAGTTGGAACGACTTCCTCTGTTGTACTATTAATCTGCACTCATGGAGCGCACGGCGGTTGAGCTCGAAGCGAAACAGTCGACCGTGGTTGACCCACATAACCTCGAAAATTGTTTCCATTGTCGCGGGGAGAATGGATTTGTCGGAGCTTCTTCCGCGCGAGCGACGATCAGGCATCGTCGTAAGCCTCGAACTGGTCGAATGTTTCTCTGTTCGAATAGCTCAACGCTGCAGCGATTCGAATACTTGCCAAATACAATTCGAATACACGACTATTCGAACATTGGTTGGATACTACTCGAATACTTGACTGTTCGAATTATATTCGAATACTTGATTATTTGAATCATATTCGAATACTTGACTATTTGAATCATATTCCAATACTTGACTATTCAAATCATATTCGAATATTGGTCAATTCGAATACAATTCGAATACTATTCGAGTACTAGTCAAATATCAAACAATTCGAGTAGTATTCGAATACTGATCAATTCGAGTAGTATTCGAATACTGTCGAAATACTATTCGAATACCACTCGAATACCAAACAATTTGAATAGTATTCGAATCTTGAGTACTTGTATACTATTGGAGTGATCGACTACTAGTATAGTGTTTGAATACCGTTCGAATGATATCTTATGCACTGGTATCGATTTGATATTATCACTAGCTCGTCTTTAAACTTTTTTTCCGGACCAGGCTGTCGAAATTTTCCTCGCATCGCACTTTTTTCGAGATGACGCCAAGTGCTCTTCTCCTCGTTCCCCCCACCATCGGGGGATTCTGACCACGTGATTCGAATAAAAGGGGGCCGCGAGACAAAGCCAAAGGACTCTTCGGGCGAGCGCAATTTAAAACCGCCAGCTCCTTGTGACGCTCATTTTATTGTTTCAGGATTCTCGTGAATTTAAGAAACGTCCATTTCTCTCATTCTGTGAGTACATTGTGACATATTCTTATTTTTTAACTTGTTTTCTAACGATATTTTGCGAATTACGAAATAATGAAAAGGTATATTATTAATCAATAACTGTGCCATAATATAAAAATAAACTGAAACAGTTATCGTTTCATTTCAAAATAAATATATAAATAATAAATAAATAAATATTGGATCAATACATTCAGAATAATATAAATAAAACAGAGAGAGTATAAATTCGCGATGGGTTGGGAATAGCAGAATGCATAAATATAAGATAAGCAACCTTTCCCCTCGTAATATTGTGTCACAGGTTACGTCACGCTGGAAAAGTTAATAACGATAATGGGAAAGTGTAATGAAAGGAAAAGTTTCCAGACGACTGGAGTATTAGCATGCACGGGCAAACCGTTCGATTTCCTTGTAGGGAAAAGTCTGACCACTTGCTCGGAACGAGTATCGACCTTCACCCTTATTCGTCCAATTTTAGCTGAAACTATAGCTAAGGTCATGCACACGATTAATGTATCGATTGCCAGCCAATAAACGTGGAAACAAGGAATGTTTTGTGACAATATCTCGCGTGCTCGATTTTGCGTATTTATTTTTAAAATTCAACCACAACAAATGGTAACTATTGAAAACAAATTTTTATCAACGATGTTAATAATGATAATTTTCCATCTTGGAGAATGAAAGCGTATAGGTGTAAAAGGAAAATTATAATAAAAATATTTAATGATTTCACGGTGAATGCAAAGTGTTGGAATAAATTCTGGAATCAGAAAGGTCTTATAAGCAAAGTCGGATTTTATTGTGGAAGGTCCGTGGAAGAAAGGAGCGTAATTGTCGAGAGTGATTGATATCGTTCGTTACTCGATTTCAAAGTGAGATTTACGTCGCGAATTCAATGCACATTCGACAGACGCCTTGGGTCCCCTTTTTAACCCGCGAAAAAGAAGGTTTGCTCATTAAACGACTTCTTCTCCGTGACACCCAACGAGCCTCGGCGAAAGTGCTTTCAAGAACTTTTCCAATCCCACTGAATCGTCGGATTTTCATCCTCTTTCTATCGATTCTGTCTCGAAGAGCTCTACTCGCAGATAATAGGACAAATTTTCGAAAATCTTGCTGGCTCGTATATCCACGATACAGTATCGATTTGAAGTTAACTCCTTCGACTGGTAGCGGCATTAGAATTCATGATAATTAATTGAAATTTGAGATTTACAATTTTTGCAGAATAGAGACGTCGAAATTTTACGTCGTTTCGCGTCCACTCCTTTCGTTGGACCTGATTTTAATGGTGGCGCGAAAAATTTAAGCTCACTGGAAATGAAATTCAGTCTGATCGCCCTGTGTAATGGATCTCGTGGATTAAATACCTTTTATGTGACAAAATCTCATCAATATTGATAAGACTCTTAGGACAGAGGTATAATATATTTCGATGAAATGGGACAGGAGAAGGCATTACACAAGAGTGTCCCACTTAACTCGAGCACCTTACACAGGGTGCTCGGTCACCGCTGGGAAAAATTTTAATGGGAAGATCTAGATTCCTAAAAAGTTATTAATAAATTAAATTAAAAAGTTTCAAATCGTTCTAAAAAAATTATTATTGGATGTAGGGGTCAATTACAATCATTTTTTGTCAATAGACATACCACCGAAATCCTACTCACTTTCGAGAAAAAAATTCCTTACCGAAAATCCAATGTCTGACCATATATTCACATGTTTCCCTGAAATTTTTCAGCGAAATTGAAAAGTTTCAAATCACTCTGGAAAAATTATTTTCGGTTGAGGGGGTCAATTATAATCATTTTTGGTGAATAGACATACCCTCAAAATCCTACCCACTTTCGAGAAAAAAATTCAGGAAGGACAAATTTTTCGACAAAATTAAAAAATTTCAGATCGTCCTAAAAAAAATATTATTAGTTGCAGGGCTCAATTACAATCATTTTTTGTCAATAGACATACCGTCGAAATCCTACGCACTTTCAAGCAAAAAATTCCGAAAGTGTAATGTCTGACCATACATTGATATGTTTCCCTGAAATTTTTCAACGAAAAAAAATTTTTTCAAATCTTTCCGAAAAAATTATTTTCAATTGCAGGGGTCAATTACAATCATTTTTGGTGAATAGACATACCCCGAAAATTCTAACCATTTTCGAGAAAAAAATTCGAGTGTTCGAGAACACCATTATATTGGTTCTGGTATCGAAGTATAATATAATGTGAAATATTATGGTAGAGCGTTAAATCGAGGAATGCTCGTCAACGATCAGTAAAATATGTTTTTTCAAGGGGTGAAAAAATATCTGTTCGTCGTTTCACGGCCTCTGTAGACGAAAGAGGGTGAAACAGGTGAATTTCATTTCGCTCTGGCAGAAAGTGCTATAACGGGAGCTAACTCGATCCCCGTCTAAAAAATTAAAGCCTCCGCTTCGGTTATCCAACCCCGTCTCGATGCCCCGGCGGAAAGTGGCAGGAAAAACGGGGAAAGTGAGAAACGGACGAGTTAATAAAGCGAAACGTACACGGTCTGACACCTCAGTGAGTGCGGAATCGCGGCATTTTCCTGTCGACCTCGTTCCACAGGAACGTTCTTTGAGCGTTCTCATCCTTTCTCCGCGTCTTTCTTCGTCCACGTCCGCCCCCCAACCCCCTCGCTGGAAGAAATAATTCTGTCCATAGCTTTTGTTTCCGAAGCTCGAAAAAGGCGGACGAATTCGTCGACTGGAACGCCTCGTTTGCTCGCTCGCCGTGAACATTTTCACCTACAGCGCACACTCGCAAAGCACGAACATTTCTTTTTCTTTATTTCAAGAAGAACTTCGGGATCTTAATTACTGATCTTAACCGTCTGGAAGTTGGGAAAGCTTGGTCGGGTTAGGACAATGAAAAGTTCCTTTGGTCAGCCGCTGTTTCGAGGAAATTATTTTCTGGATTGGGAGGAAGACATTTACAAG